TAGTACATCTATAGTTGAGTTGAACAGGAACAGTGACAGGACATCCCTGGAGGACATCAATAGTTGTTGTTAACGCTGACAACAACTCTCCATAAACCCTTACACAGCTGAGTTCGAGTAGAGAGCTCTGATAAGCGCTATATAACCAATCCACCACGATCTTCCTAAATGTGGTGGATTGGATCATCCAAGAAACTGTGAGGAGCAAGAAGACAGGAGCACACGCTGTTTGACCGATGAAGGGACCCTACAAGATTTCGATTTCGCCAACGATGATTTATGTCTGATGTCTTATGTGGCACGAACTCGAAGATCTACAGGCAAAAACTAACAAGTTGACAGAAGAAGCAGGGCAGGGCAGCGAAGACCGGACTTCAAGTGAATGTAGAGAAGATAGAGGTGATGAAGATACCCAACCAATCACCATCAACGACAGAAACCTAAAGGAAGTACTCTTTCACCTACCTAGGCAGCATCGTTTCAACTACAGGCGGCACAGGCATAGATCACGACGTCAAAGCCACGATCGGGAAAGCAAGACAGGCCTTCATTAATTTGAGATCATTTTGGAGATCTACTGCACTCAGAATAAAGAACAAGATCCGGATTTTTAAAACCAAAGTCAAGTCAGTGCTTCTATATGGTTCAGAAACTTGGAGTGTCACGGAAAGTCTTTCCAACAAACTACAGACATTCATTAACAGTTGCCATCTACGCTCACTCGATACTGAAGATCAAATCAGATGGCCAGAATAATAAGAATAAGTAACAAGGAACTCTGGCCGGCTGGCAACGAACCAACCAAGAACCTATCGCCCAACAAATATGCAGAAGTGGAAATGGATTGGTCGTACAATGACAGGACTGTTTGAGGACACCAAGCGCAGGGCAGGTCTCGAGTAGAACCCGAGGAGGAAACGACGAGTTGGGCGTCAGAGGGTGACATGGAGGAGATCGTGTGTGGAAGAAATGAAAGCTTATGGGCAGGAAGACGTGGAGTCAGGTTAAAAAGACTGCAAAGAACAGAGTGAAGCCCTATGTTTCGCTTGGAACCCAAGGGACAAACAATAACAATAATATATCCTCATGGTACTCTATTTACAGTTAGACCCTGCCACAACACCACGACTAACTGAGTCAAAGGTCCCCTTTAGGTCAAAAAAATATGGCAAGCATCGGCCGCCGATGAGTATGCTTGTGTTCCAGAACCTGTCGGTGGGTGAGAATCTGGTCGGTGCATCCTCGTCCAGGTCTGAAACCCGCCTGGCTTTCTCGAGGTTTTGTTCTTGAGATCTAGTTAGGCGTTGGACAACTATGGACCCTAAGATCTTGGACACAATATTAGTCAAACTGATTACCCTATGGTTGTCACAGAAAGACCTCTCTCCCTTCTTGTGGACTGGGATGATATCAGTGAAGTAGACGAGTTTGATGGAGCTACTTCTGATCCCCATACACTACCTAGTACCGCTGTCACTTTAATTAGCAACTTCCTACCACCACATGTCAGGTCCTGCTGTTCTGCATCGTTTCAGGTTGACATAGACCTCTCAGCTTCAAGGGTAGTTGGAGGACAGGTATTTACGTCCCACTTAGGTTCAGGCTGGATGTTAAGCGACTGAAGCATTGCTGTGGGTCAGCTGAACTGTGCTTCAAAGCGCTCTGCCCAACACTAGTCGCTTTTCCCGGAGTTTATCAGCATCACATCCTTTTCGCTGATAGTTTCACTGACGACCTACTTTCCGATGATAATAATAATAAGCTTAAGTGGTTGCCGAGTGTTACCCGTCACAGACGCCTTTTCCACCACTGCTCGCGATCATTACGAAGACTCTTGGTCAACTTACGCTCTTCATTGTGGTAACCTATTTCTAGTCCTTTTGAGCGACAGCGACGTGGTGTATCTAGTGGAGTTGAGTGTACGTTAATTCAGCCTTTCTAAGAATTGTGTTGGTTGGAACCAAATGGTTTTCTGAATGGTGCTGCAATTGATTGTATGTTGGCTTTGCAAGGATCGCGTAAGTATTACATATGGTTTTGCTTGTGGTCCGAAGTTTTTCAGTACATCTGAACGTTTGGCTTTTAGGTCCAATAGTCTGCAGTTAAACTCATTTTAGCTTTCATATAAACTGCAATTGATTAGTGCACAGCCAGAGACTGAAACAGCGATAACGGCGTATTTCACTGCTCCTGTTAGTCCTTGACACACCATTTGGTCAAACAGCACAGAAATGACTGTCAACCGAAATCTTGTCAAACAGTGCTTCCTATCTCTAAGAGTTGACGCTATGCGTATGCTTGCAAAGCCGTAAGAACTAGCCGGAGTCTCCAGACACTTAGGGTGCATTTTGACTACTCACCATGTTGAAAAGGACAAGAGGATAATAACACGTGTTCCCTGTGAACGCCTAAGAAAACATGGTGTGAGAGGCCACAGTTTCGGCCACTGATGCTGGTAGCCCATGACAGTTGGGACCGAGTTTTACTACTTAGTTCGGAATGCAGTTTTAAGGTGATTATAGACGCCGTGGCGTGAACTCTAATCGTTATCATCACCAGAATACCCGGAAAAATTAAAGGCCAATAACTACGTCCAAAGCATTCGAAAGAGACTGAATTGGTGACAGATGTGTGACTGACACTGCTCAAGGTTATGTCTTGAGGTATTTGAATAAGCGGTCTTATCCCGGAGAAAACCAACCCAACCATTATGGAATCATCACCCAATGTGTGCAGCGGAGCCTGTATCTTCACCTAAAACGGTCATTAATTGAAAACTTTAGGCCAAACAAGTAATCTAGTCTCACACTAATTGGGTTCAGTTAGTGCAACAACCTAATATACGTTTACATACTGGACCTCGAGTCCCATCTGTTTGAGGGCTTACGGTACTACGTGCCCAAACTAAGAGTAGAGCAGAGCCCGAACTCTGGACGCACTGATTGTTAAACCCTTCTGAAGAGAGGAAAGCTGATACATGTGCATCTATGGTGAAATTAAATAAGCTGTAGGCTCTCAATGAGCATTACCCTACGTAAACGCCCTAGAGCAAAACAGTACACCTTAACATAACCACGGGTACTAGACTACAGAACTATCGGTAAAGGGAAGTACTTACCAGTCACCTTTATGAGTCAAAACACTGCCATAAAAACGCTTGATGGATGGAGTAAACTGTCACTTTCAAACAAAAAGACAGGTAATATCGGACACTGGTGAGAAACCCAAGGCATTCAGTGCTCTTTTGTTGTCCATGTATCAAAAACAGAACGAAAGTGCTGGATAATACACTTAGTCTTCAATAAGCAGAAGTGGACTGATTTTAATCCAACATTTGTAAGTCAAGATTTCGTGATCTACGAAGCCAAAAATGTTTATGACCGCCTAAATCGATTTCTAATGACAAGCGAAGCAACAATATCTAGGTCTTTATCGAGGGATGACAATAGCATGCCTGCAATAAATTAGTTCAGGAATCCTTCAAAATGGCAGTCTTGAAGTCGAGTATTCACGACACCAGTATAACACTATGGTAAGTAGAAACTTAAACTGTCAAGTAATTACTCTGTAATTACCACCAAAAAAAACTACTTTGAGCAGGGTAGAACCAAAGATTGAAAGTAGTTGAGTCCAACTCTCATCCCAACTAGTACCAACCCAACTTAAAACCTCACCCCATTCTCAAGTGATTGCAGCGATAGGTCTTCAGTACTCGTCGATTCTCGGTCCACGTCATTTACCGCAACCCAACCTTGGAAATAGTAAGTGGCTCGTTCATTTCTAAGCGAGACTGCAACTGGTCTCACCAACCTATTCATACAATTGTAACGAACGCCTATACGCATCACAAATATTTATTTATAGTAAATTGGTTCTCTTTACAATGCACAAATCTTTCATGGATATAATGCAGTCAGTTCAAATGAGTCATCTCCCCCCCCACCCGTGTTCGACTCACCGTTTTGTCTGCCTTTACACAGCCCATCGAGGATGTCTATTCACATCGCCTTAACTCAATTCCCTGTTTCTAAAAACTAAGGACCTGGTTACTACCTATTTCATTTCTGCCATTCACCACTTCGAAGTACTTTTATGTAATGCACAGTCTGGAAACAATAGAATTCCACTCACTAGGCTATATGAAGGCTGAGTTGATGAAACTATCATGGCACACGCAGCGAGTCATCAGTCCGTGGTCCGATAAATCCAAAGTGGATCAAGCCTAAGAAATGCAATCCCGCCATCAACGGCAACCAATAACTTCATGCACGACTTCACTTTCAACTTTCTGAAGCCAGTTCCAGAGCACCCATTAATTGGTATTTATCAAAGCTTGAATATGAATTGCTATTTGTTCTTACATGTAACTTAACATTATGCTTCATCACAGCTGAAACCTGATAATTAGAACGGACCTAATTATATCCAAGAGAAGTTTGTGCATTGTGGAGGGAAATATGAGTGTTTATGATGAATATTTACAGACAATGATGCTATTTAGTTTTGGTAATATTCCAAACAAATGATTCCAACAATTGGTGCCACCACGGTACTTCTATCCGAACATAGTCAGACAACTTATCCTCATTTAGTGATTAATTACAGGATTAAGTCAGGCTCTTCGCAAACGACCGCAAGCTAGTAACATTAGGCGGAGAAAAGTGAATGTATATGTATATAAGCTCGGATTATGACAATTGAAGTCAGTAAACATGCCAGTCTAAAAAGCCTACACTTTGAAATACCATTTAGACCGGACTTAAAAGGTACAAAAAAAAGTCCGACGCTCAACTTGGAAACCTTGTCTTTCTGTAAGATCCTACTACAACCAAGGCAAATGATCGGTATTCATGACCAAACGTCAGTAAACACAGAAATCCTCGAAGTCCAAACCTGGGAAACTCGGTGAGGAAACCACGCGGGTTAGGAGAGCCGACCAAAATATTGCAGTATTATCACGTAGACATTGATTTGGTAAACTTTCAGAAACGTGAACTTACTGAAGGGTAGATGAATCGAAACTGACGATCCCCAACTGTTAGCGTTGAGTTATCAGATAAAATGCAAGCATCCTTTAGTGGACAACCGTTGACCAACATTTTATATTTTTCATCCACTCTGCTGAGGGCCTGCACTAAACCGTTTTCCATTAGCTGCAGAGTGCAATGGAAAGGAGCCACCGTTGAGTGTTGCACACGTATATCACAAGATTGATTGCTATGAAATAGGTTTGTAGTCGCAACTATGAACTTACCTTCCAATGTCACATAAACGTGAGTACCAATCACATGTCAGTCCATCAGTGCCATCCCTGCGGATAACAACTATGTGCCCACTGGGACTCATCGGTCTTTCAGATTTCAAAACTGTACGTCTTAGCGTCCCGCAGATAGTGTCAGTTTAGAAAAACAAACCACCCCAGTTTTAAAAATTGTGAGAAATATGTATTACCAATGAAAAGAAACCAGAATCTTAAGAAACTGGTACACGTTAAACACCAATATTCACGAAATAAGGTGAGATGATGACACAGCAACATCCAGCATCAAAAACGCGATTATGGGAAACTGATAGTTTTTGATCTAGTTCTTGACGGTTGGTTTTTGTTTTTCCATTTGCTCTTGTAGTCTGCAGTAAGTTCTCTTTTGTATTCCTGCTTTTAGTCTTGGTGAGATGGACGTTATTTGTGGATCGGTATTTGTAACCAGGATGTTGAGTTGGACAGAAAGCCACAGGTTGCTGGGAGGATTTGAGGTCATTTTTGACCCCTGTATGGATACACGCCTGAACGAGAATTGAAGGATAGACAGAGAAAGTATATGGGAGGTTGCTGAAAGTCAACGGGAGTTAACAAAGAAGAGTTTGATGAGAATCCAGGAGTATCAAGTCTAGAGGATTTAAGTGGCAAATAAGAGGAAAGCGATGGAGAGCTAGTGAGGTCATCAGTGTCCCCAGTATGTCTCCGGTAAGCAGGACGAACTAATTAAACTACCTGACCTTCCTTGAGTGTATCTGCTGAGGAGGCTGTAACTACATCCCTCACTAGAGCATTACATAAAGTAGATAGTCTTAAGGAGGAAACGTTTGACGCTAGCCTTATGCTAGCTCTCTGATGTGTCATTCTGGTGAGATACTCTCGCGATGATTGCCACATCGCCTTCGTGGTTGGTTTTTTCACATGACTTCGCTGACTGATGATATCAAAGGCCCTAGCATATTGACTCCTTTTTCTGCGATAGAGTGAAGCACGTCGTTTTACGTGTCTCAGGCTATGGGCATATGTTTTCCCCTTTGATCATCCGATGTCCAATATTGATAGCACGAGCGTAGAAAACTGATATTTTTTGATCCCTCGTATCTAGCTCTTACAACTGATTTTGTAGGGGTTCTTTTTATTTTCCTCGTGGCGGTTGGAGTTCCTGTTCAGTGTTCAGTCCAGAGGTGAGATAACTGACCTCTTAGAGCAGGAAGTGTTGAGTGGCATTCTCTATGGTTCCCGCTCCTCTGTAATCAGGAATGGTATTTGCGGTGTCGGAGGGGGTGAACCCCAAATCTTTTTCCGTGGACACTTTATCGACAATGTGGTTTCAGAACCTGTATTCGAATCCTGTTTTCCCCGCTACTTGGGTCGTTGTGTGTGCTGCTTTTCGCTTTCCCGGGTTAAAGCTCAAGCTATCTTCTGATGTTCAAATTTTAGTTGCTGAAGGTCGGTCTCTACTCTTACCACCCTTAAAGTTGCAATGTCATCAGCAAGAAGCAGGGGGCGGCGAAATATTGTCAACGGGGTCCTTGATAAATAACAGGAATATAAGTGGCTCATGGGTGGCCTACTGGGACACCCTCGGTAACGACTGCCAAACCGGTGAACTGATTTGTTTTCATGTAGCTTATGTCTTATGAAATATGCACATTAGTATTCCTATTACTACGACAAGCGGTTACGGATGACAGTCCATGATTGGGCATAATTTGGTTTTGCAAGCGGTGTAGGTGCTTATAAACATACGTATGATAAAATGCAAGGTTCAGTTCAAATCATCTTTTCGAAGAGATTCCAGTGCTGTGTTACATCCATGGTGGTAGTCGAAACCGCAGTGAGTTCTAAGTTTGCCTGTTGTCAAATAAGGCTATTCCGCTTCAAATATAAGTATCTCGCTTACGCAGTGTCCACTGCGAATAAACTGACAGTTTTCCACAAGATTTTGCATCCAACACGGCCACTAGTGATAAGGTTGAAGAACATGAGACGGCAGTTAACTCGGAACCTATTCCTTAGGAAACCATGTTGAAACTTTGCGATAAGGCTTTCTGTAAGCAGATAGTCGGAGAGGCTGCCTCCAATCATTTTCTCATGACAGAAGAGCGGACCGGCGTTGCATCTGTGGATATACAGTTGCTGAGGTTCCCCTTGTCATTAGACTTGCAATGAAGCATTATGCATCCAGTCTTTCATCTGCTAGTATGTAACCCACTTCCCATTGATAAGGCAGATATCTTAAAAAGGAGCGGTGACGTACCATGATGACTGTTTATGGTAACTACTGAGTTCCGGCTGTTTGTATTCCTCTTGATGGCCCCAGGCGCTCGAGGCCCTCCGACACCCTTGTCTGTTTATCACACGTCAGTGCCTGGACATATGGTAAGTGCAGTAAAGCATGTGGATTATAAGCACCAGGCTGAGATCCTCAAAATTCTCACTAAACAGTTCAGAAATCTCGAGACAGCCATCGCAGGCTGCCTCGTAGCGTAATAAGTCCGCTCTGACCTTTGGTGACTGCAAAAGTCTTTTTAAAGCAGCCGTCAACCAATGTATTACACAGTCACTTGTTAGGGCATCAGGCTCTTAGTTTAGCGCACGTAAGGTCCTAACTAATAGGTAAATTTAGTAAATTGAGTGCAATTATATGGAGTTTTCAGAAGAGTTGAGTTCTATGATAATTCGTAAAGCTAAATGCGTCGCATCCCAGCTATTTTCATCAAAGCGACTGTGCCAAGAAGTAGACTAAATTTTCTCCAGAAAGTGAAACCTCACCAGGTGATGAGGCTGTAATCTGGTACACGACTACCGTTAGAGAATCAACAAGCGACTTAAGTGGTGATGGCGACGATGTTCCTGCAAGACACATTGTCCCCGTGCGTAGTTAGCAAGACGTATCGGCCCCATCCATAGATATCTAAGTCAACATTTATTTCACCAAAGCGTTGCGGTCCACAATCAGCCTCCCGTTTAACTTCGGCCAGGTGTAAGATTCCTCAAATCATCCTAATGTCGAAAGCAAGTTATACAGAACCGGCGAATGCTTGGAAGACAAGTGCAAGGGTTTCTCTTGTTAATCATAGTGCCTTATGGACACAGCTAGCAGCCGATTGCAATGGAAAAATCCCTGTTACACCGTCTTTACGGCTATCTCCGGCCTTACCGTTCAACTTTTGTTTCCGTCTATGGATAAGCTCTTTCTGCCTTGCTTTCAGAGTTGCTCAATCCCATAACAGTATAAGGGTCTAGATATGTTACTATTACGTAACGCTTAATCAACCCTGGTTAGCTCAATGTGCCGCGTCACCCACTTAGTCAGCACCTTACCCAACGTACAAGTACCGATAACGAAACAAATGAAAAAGACTCTTCTCCGAAGATATGTTCAAATGGCAGTACAATTAAACAGAACAAATCCGAGAGTGCTTATTGGAAAATAAGCCTGCTCAACCTATCCAGCTAAAACGGCTCGGCCAGGGACTCCGAGAACCTGCATGTTAGTCGGCAGATAAGCAGTGCGAAATGGTATCGTAGCCTGCTTGCATATATGCCCGTCGAAGGGAGACATCTACAGGCAAATCAGATTTTTATTTAGTTAATATTTAGTCAATTCACTTTATCATGTTTATTTAGGCAGTGGACGCATCTTGGTAATGGGAAAGTGTGCAGCGAGAGTAAGTCCATCACCTTCCCCTCCTAGGTGAAATTCCTCTCATATCCTCTTTTGAAATTCAATCCATCTGCCTGTAATTCGCAGTTCCCGAATTCTTCTTCCAATTTCACCACAGCGTTGTTATACCCCGCTCGATTATGTATAAGAAGCATTGCCATGCCTTTATTAAGCCATTGGGACGGGAAATCTCAGGTATTAGATATAAATGGTGTAGACAAATAATTGAGTCAGTCTCCTGGCAGTATATAAAACCGGTTGCTCGTAAAAGTGTGTAAAACAAGTTATTCTTCACTCAAACACACCAAAAGAAATTACTGAGACATTCCCAAAAACAACGAAAAACCAGCCACAGGTAAAACCCGGAAAACAACGATCGGACTGACTTAGAGTAGGCCCTCACCAGACATTTTCGTAGAGGAACTGGAAGGAACCCGGGGTCGAAAATAAAGTGCAAGAAAACCATCAGTAACTCGCGGTAAAAACGCTAGGCAGGACATAAAAACATGTGGCTAAACAACACAGAGCAATGCTGCAAAATCCGCAAACTTCAATGCAATTTTCCCATGACCCCTCGTCTCACCTCGCGAAAATCTCGACCAGCTCCGTTTTTCTCAATGGGCGATCGACGACTGAAACTCCTACCTCAGGAAGCGGCACTAGCTCTCTCACCGGACGTATTCAGAAAGAGAATGCGTCTTCTCGGAGATACCCACTGCAATGACAAACACATTAACTAATACACAACTCTTCACAGGCTAACGAGGAAATAATGAGGACAATCCATTATAATCAATACTTCGACTGAGACGCCTTGGAAAGCTCCAACCCATCGAGTGGATGTAATGTGTATTAAATATTTTGGGAGCTTCATTACAAATTAAAAACACTTCAAATAAACATTTCGACATTTTCGGGCGCGATGATACATTGCTGGCAGATATCTCAAAGTTTTTAGTGGATTTTTACCTAAAAATTTCAAAGTGCGCCCAAAGTATTTGCCGGCTGGGTAATCACAGTAGCATCGGGAATTCAATGTATTTTCCTCACTCATCCCCTTTTTGGTTAGTTTGGATTATTACAGGTGACTGAACAGTCATGCAAACCAATTCAGCGAATACTTGCGGTTTTGAGGTAAAATTCTGGGAGAATCTTTCAAGCCTACTCAGAAA